TTTCATTATCAAATGGGAAACGTCTTTATCAATGTCCTTTGTGTGCTTCTTTTCCTTGTAGTCTCCTCTCGTGGTATGTTCTCTAATTATATTTTTAAAAGTGTAATTAACAAAAACTTTTAATCACTACAACCTCAATGTGGGTGAGAATTGAATTAGGGTCGTTTTATTTTTTAACGATCATATCGAATTCTTCATTTCTTGTCGCTCTGGATCTTTTCAGGTGTAAGTGTTCATGAATGCAATCCTTTTCTCTCGATTACACAAGAGTTGACGGGATTTCAAATTCATGGACAACCTGAATGGAATGTAACAGTAACAAATCTTTGTGCTTGTTTCCAACAACAAGTTCAAATAACTTGTCCAGGAATTGGGAACTCTACTCTTGCATTGGACGCTAAAATCATAGCTCAGTCTGGCAATGATATATGCACACTCAATGGGGGTCTCTTTATTCAACCTCACTCGTCGGTTAGCTTCAAATATGCTTGGCAGAAGATCAATTTCCAACCATTTGATAGTAGTGAGTCATGCTCAATTCATTAATTATTTAATTATATACGAGACGATGATATGTCATTTCAATTAGTTTTTGAATTATAAATAATCTTCATGCACTTTTGTGTTTTTGTGGTGTTTCACATTTATTATTTCGAACAAAGTACACCTTTCATGATGTTTGTGTTCATGTTTGTTCAAAATGTTTAAACATTCTAATAAGTGTGCATATCACGTTCTCCCTCCTCTTTCATTTTTATTGTTTTCCTTAAAACGCTTCCATTTTTGTAAAAAATGACAAACTCTGGTATTATATTTAAATTAAGTTGTTTCAATATACTTCATTCAAATTTGTTGGACACGAGTTCAAACCCCTTTATTATTTTTCTAGAATATTTTTTGTTTTGATGAATGACAAACAGGATGATTAAATTCAAACAATAATCGAAAATTTATTTTTCGTATCGAGAAAAGCAAAGAGGCGTATAAAGAAAATTACAACAATAAAAATCAACGCTCACCCCTACGCTGATTTTTGAAGCGAAGTGAAGACTCCGAAGACTTTTTATTTTTATTGAGTCTAGGAATTTTTTTTAAGGATGACAATACTTTCTGCAAAAACAAATTAATTTTGAGGGATAAAAATTATTATTTTCTGAGTCAGTTGAAAAATTATTTTTTCTCTGTTCAAAAATATTTTACTGATTCAGTTTCAAAATAGTGTGTCAAAATTTCTTAAAAAACATTTTTTAAGGATACACAATTTTTTTTTGTGGTAAGAAAAATATACTTTAAATATTTTTCGTGTACATCGTTTGACACACAAAATAATTTTTGGATTCACTTTTTCTCCCCTATTCAAATTCATTGAATATGGGATATTATCTTTGAGGAGCGTTCCTGTTATTCTTGTTGTCTCAAACAACGAATAAGAAGCCAATGCCTTTCAATCGCAACTGGCCTTGGGCCCTTTATGTTTTTGCGCATTATTCTCTTTTAATCGATTAATTACCTCTACTTAATCGATTAGATCCAGCTCCTCAGCGCTGGATTTCTCAGGCCAATAATCTTAATCGATTAACTTGCTCCATTTAATCGATTAGTTTGAACAGAGCAAGCTAATCGATTTCTCCTCTTAATTTAATCGATTAATTATCTTCTTCAGTTCAAGCATTTTCGCCTCTGTGTACCGTAATCGATTTAACTTTCTTACGTTAATCGATTAATTTTATCTAGTGCATATTCTCAGCCTGCTCCAACGGATTTATTTTACTCAGCATATTTAATCCCTCATTCTCCTTCATTTTCTATTCACTACTCTTGCACTCCAATATATCCTTTGAGCTATATTCATCCCTTGCTTCATCTTCCTCATCAAAATATTATTTTTGAGAGTTAGAAATATTTTATTTGAGTGCTAAAGATATTGTCATCCATAGAGCTTTAAATCCTTCAACACTACTTTGCTCAATTGTGTGAGCTTTCATTCTTGTGTTGTAAACTCAGTGTTGTTCTTTAGACTTGTGTGACTCAAGTCTTGGTGTTGTAAGTAAGTGAGGCTTGTGTGATTCAAGTTCTCAAGTTGTACCGGTTTTTCAAGCACCCGTTGAAGCTTGAAGATTAGTAGGACTTTCGAGAGAGTCTCTCGGAGGACTGGACTAGCCACGAGGTGGTGAACCAGTATAAATCTCGGTGTTCTTCTTTCCCTTACTCTCTTTATTTATTCCTGCGATTTTATTATTTCACACACGCAAAAAACGCACATTCTTGAAAACAACTCTATTCACCCCCCCCTCTAGAGTTGCACATTNAAGTGAGGCTTGTGTGATTCAAGTTCTCAAGTTGTACCGGTTTTTCAAGCACCCGTTGAAGCTTGAAGATTAGTAGGACTTTCGAGAGAGTCTCTCGGAGGACTGGACTAGCCACGAGGTGGTGAACCAGTATAAATCTCGGTGTTCTTCTTTCCCTTACTCTCTTTATTTATTCCTGCGATTTTATTATTTCACACACGCAAAAAACGCACATTCTTGAAAACAACTCTATTCACCCCCCCCTCTAGAGTTGCACATTTGTCTAACAAATTTGTATTGATAAAATAAGTCATTTAAATGATTTGTCTTTTTTCTTCAATAATAAAGATATAATTAGAAAGTCAAATTATGAAAATAAATCCTTCCTAAGATGAAACAAGAATCATTTAGAAAACAGATGGAGTAATATGTAACGATGTATAAAAGTATACACTTTTTCACATACATTTGCATATAAAAAATAGAATTAAATAGCTAATTGCCTAACACTTGATAACGTTTAAATAAAATTAAATAAATACAAAAATAAAAAGATAATAAAATTGAATTAAGAGTTTAGATCATTCATTAATTACAAAAGCTTGAAAAGGATTTACATACAAACAAATTCATCAAAAATATAAGATAATGTGTAAGACAAAAGTATAACAATATGTATGTAGTATAACAAAAATACATGTTTAACCCAAAAATATTGTAATAACTCCCTAGATAAGAGTAAAAAATTATTAAAATACCAAAAATACAATTCATTCCCCTCTCCCCTAATTTACCCTCCACTAATTTACCTCCATCGTTTAGCTTTTTTTGATGCAAAGTGAATGGCCCTTCATATTTCAATTTCCTTTTGTATTTTGATTCCGAAACAAATCTGTTCATTTCATTGTGGAAGCCTTTAATAAAAGTCTTCAATTGCATCCACGCACATCTGTTTGTTATCATCACCCTCCAGGTTTGGTTCTAGGTTCATCCTGATCTTGATTACATACGTGCAGCAATAAACAACCACTACACTCTTAATACTGAAGCTAAATGAGAAATATCTAACATTCAGTTATACATATAGACGATCACTAATTCATAACATCACACGATATTATGCATACAAGTACATCACAAATATCAGCAAAACAAATTCAATCCATAAACATTATGAACAATCCAAGATATAATGCTAACTAAAGCGTCTTGTAAAAAGTAATTATGATAATTAAAGTGTCGTATAATATATTATTTATTAATAAGATAATTTCATACCTTAAAATTTTTAGTGCCGTGGTATGAAAAGTATATTAATTATGGCATCATTTATAAAAAGTATAGTTAACATAATACTGTGTGATAAAAAGTAAAATTTTTAAACACCCGTTTATAAGGGTGAGCAAGTACCATCCGAAACCAAAATTTTTTGAAAAAATCGAGATTACCGAATCTAAAAATACCGAACCAATAAAATATCAAAAATGGTACCGTATCGTACCAAACTAAAAGGTCAGCCCGGTATTGGTATTGGTACAAGGTAACTTCCCATACCGAAAAATCACGAATCGAACATATAAATAAATACTAGCATGGGACACACTTCGTGTGTGTGTGCCCAGATATATATATATATATATATATATATATATATATATATATATATATATATATGTATATATATATAGACTAAGTAGAAGTATATTAATATTACACAAAAGAGTGATTGTTACATTAGATGTAATATATTACAACTTACAAACTGTATTAGAGGGAGTTACAAAATTTGGAACTTACTTCGTTCCAAAAGAGTGATGGTTACAAAAGAGTGATGGTTATATTAGATGTAGTATATTAGAACTTACAAACTGTATTCGAGGGAGTGACAAAATTTGGAACATATTTTGTTCCTTTTAGTCGGGTGTTAGTAGCATTAAGTAACTTTTTAACAAGGGGCTAGGTAGGTATACATGACAAAATGCAGTGCACATGTACTGAAAAAAGGTTTCCAATGTAGCAGGATTTAAGGCCAAAAGGCTTCTACCATGATGAAATGTCTCAGCACTGTTTTTTGGGGCTGGGTTCTTCCACTTTCAGCTTTCTCTTAAGGGTTGGACTTGCTGTTTTTTCATCACGGAGGTCGTAAAGGCATTGAACTGAGAATGTCTTCGATGCAGATGTTTGTTCGGTGCGAGGTGGTAGTTTCACTGCAGCTGTCACCTTCTGAGATTCAAGACTGTTGTTCAAATCCACGCATTTTATGAACTCCATTGGTGTATTCAATTCAAGTGCTCGTACAATCTTTTCAAGTGTGTCGGTGAAGAGTGTGACTTGTAGAGCACTAAGCTCATCTTTCATTTCGGCCAGAATTCTGAATCTGTAATGATTTGTAAAATAGTTTAAAGAAATGTATTCATAATGTGAAACCACAGATTCCAAAATAGATTCAGTGCCTATTGTGGTAAAGAGGAAGTGGTTACCTCTTAATTGTTTTTGCTTCAGGGTCACCACACAGCATGCATTTAAAATTGATTCCTTCTATGTAGTTCACTTTTCTATTGCAGCTGTTGCAACCAATAAAGAATGTAATGTCTCCAGCTTCTAAGACCTGCAACTGTCCTTCAATCCAGTGGACATCCTCCTGTATGATTATGTATTATATTTGTATATGTTTAAATTAAAGTGTGACATGCATATTAGAAGTTCCCAGGATGTATCCAGCATATTAAATTATGCTTAGCGCCCAGGTGGTTTAACCTAAGGCACGTCGTAGGGGGTTGTTATTGTCGCCAGCGTGTGCTATTTGTGCTCTGCATTTGGAGCAACTCAGAAGTGTTATTTTGTGGGAATGAGTGGAATAACAGATTTGTCTAATATAGTTCAACTCATTCTGTCTATTTACCTAAACTCCAAGCATTAGTTATACCTGGCAAGATTTGTATTACAGTTTAAAGGGTGCTTATCGGATAGGATGAAGGATCTAACAATTGGGCTTCCTAGAAATGAGGCTTATCCTTAGCGCAAAGTTTCATTCAATGGTAGGCCTACTCAAGTGAATGGGGGTTCAGTCCAGGAAGTTAGTCTGGACTCGTTGTGTCATTCTAAAAGATGCGAAATTGAGCTATAACAAACGTACCCAAAAGCATTAACAAGTGGGTACGTTGGAGGGACGCATTTAAAATTAACATTACTTTCACCTTATGGCCCTATGTATAAATTAGATTTATTACTTTGAGAATAAGTGTTTTTTTTTAAGAATTTGGGTACAAATGTGGGATATGAAATCTTACTTTACTATCCTCCATGATCATGGCCCTGTATGTTACTCCCCTGGCTGATTGACGCTCGTTAAGCTTCTCTATCAGTATGACCTTGCAACCCCATAATTTAGTACTGGGAGTGACGTCTGTAATATCTTGATTTGCATCCATTGTTCTGAAAAAAGTGAATGTAGTATATCAGTTTGTAATGAAATTAAATTTTGAATAGGCGACATGGACTTTAAAATATAATTAATGCGCAATAAAATGCATTAAAAATCAACAAACCTAGTGCTTTCCTATGTAAGGTATTCAATGATTTCACTGTACACTATGTTTGCGGTAGCATTTGTGGTCTTCGAATTATCTATTTCATCATAGATAAGCATCTTGATGGAGGCAGCATTTTTGGCCCGCGACATTGCAACGTATAGTTGTCCATGACAGAAGACTGGTCGCCTAAGAAAGATTCCTGCGAATTCGAGTGTCTGACCTGTGATTTATTTATTGTCATTGCAAAGCAGAGTTTGACGGGAAATTGAGTTCTCTTAAATGGGATTGCGCAACGTTCATCTCTAGACATCTCAAGTGGAATTCTTGGTATGAAGACATGCTTTCCCTTATATTCACCAAAAGCAATGAAACAACTTATCAGATGATCGTGAAATGTATCACAAATTAAGCGCGTTCCATTACATAGGCCTTCACACGGGTTTAGATTGCGTAGAAGAATTACTGGACAATTCTTTTTTAGAACTAATGTGTGGGGTGGTAGACCTGGAAATGATAACGTGTGCAACAAATCTTGGCAATTTTTGTATTTCTCATCTAGTGGTACGTCATAGCTCAGCAAGGTTTTTGATTCTCCAGGGAATTTTCCAATTATGATCGTGTTGATTTCATCGACGTACTCATTTGTAGTAGTTAATATTATTCTCCCCATCAACGTATATGGATCCTCTTGAAAGAGGTTCAAGTTTGGGTAAACAGCTGTGATCAGGGACGATAACAAATCTGAACTGTCGGGGGTACGGACAAGGAATTGTTGTGGGATTTTGATGTTTGTACCACTTGTAGTTGGCGTTGACCCATTTCCGATGTCCATTAAATACTCACAAAAAGAGGGATCTGCTTGCACCCGAACATTTTCTTCTAAAGGTAGGCGTATCATCTTTGGCCAAATATGAGATGATTTTACGATACATGCATTTATACAGTCTTGTCTGTTTCCATTCCTGACAACAGGAAGTGTCTGACGTAGATCTCCTCCGAAAACAATGACTTTTCCTCCGAATAGGTCATCGGAGGACATGATATCTCTAAGTCTTAAATCCAATGCCTCTATAATTCCGCGATTAGCCATTGTAATTTCATCCCATATGATGATTCGTGCTTCTTTAAGTAATGTTGCTATTTCACTTTGCTTACCAATGTTGCAGGTGTATTTATCATTTCCATCCAACGGTAATTTAAACCTAGAATGTGCCGTGCGGCCTCCAGGAAGAATAGAAGCAGCAATGCCTGATGTTGCAGTAGCTAAAGCTATCCATTTTTTGCTCCGGATGGTTGCAAGCAATGCTCTGTACAAAAATGTTTTTCCGGTGCCACTAGGGCCATCTACGAAAAACACTGTAGGTTTGTTGGCTGTCACACTCTTCATAATAGAGTCAAATGCAATCTGTTGGCCGCGATTGAGAATCTGAGTGCATTGAAGATCTTGCTCGCTTATATTTATGTTGTATTCTGCTCTTAATTCTCGTGCCTGAATTTCAGCAACTGTTAAGGGTATGGCACATTCTGTTAGGTTGAATGTAGGAATACTTTTTCCAAGTGCTTCAGTAATATCTCCAATAAGTTTTAGTGTCATTGTTTCCATTTCCAATGGAGTGTAGATGTGTACCTGCGAAAAATCTTCATATAGATACTTTTTGTATTTAGCCTATAACTCTCTTGGATTTGGAATGTCACAAAACACCAATAGTGTCGCGAATAATCTCCGCAAACTACTGGGCATTTGATACATCACAGCCTCTTCAAGGCAAACATCAGCAGCAGCATTTTCCGTTAGAAGCCTCATTCTCTCTGCACCTTCTCGGAATGTGGATGCTGTATAACCATCTACAAGTTTTAGACTGGCAAACGATTTTGGAGCTCTTACATGTTGGAGTAGCATGCGAAGATAATATCTTTCACCCTCAATTGGATTAACACTCACAAGTCGTCCTATGACGTTTTTTCGCTTTCGTAGCGTCCACATCTTGTTTGTGTCTGACCAAACAAAAAACTCTGGGAATTGTACATAAAGAAGTTGGAGTCTTTTTGCAGTCACATCGTGTAGGTTCATTTCAAAGAATTTTGTCAACATTGTGCTTGACCTGTTGTCATCTTTCACTATTTTTGTGATTCTTTTATTTCCGAAGAAGTTGATATACTGAAAGTTTTCCAGGTGTACTTTCAATTGTTGAACGGGGGGATACATCTCGGCAATGGTGAAGGCAAATATCCTCCATGCCGCCTCCGGTGCCGAAACCCATCTTGCATTTTGATAAGATGTTATCTCGTCACTGGAAGGAGCGTTTTGATCATTTGTGATTCCAATTGAAATTCTATCATGCCCTTTGTAAACATATTTATATATGTACTTCACGGATCTAACTGAAGCACAGATCTCAACATTAATGTGGCAATCAAATTTCAACAAAAGTTGTGGATTATATGGTACCACCCAGGAGTTATCAAGTTTGTAGCCACGTATTTCTACGGAATTAGTGCCGCTTCTCCTACGGTAGACCGGGAATGAATCTTCACCAAATGATGTTTCCTCAATTAAAGATCTGGGGTACTTGTTTCTACAGGAGGCTGTTACCTGTCCCTTTTTTTCGTCATACATGGGCAACTTTGATTAAGGGTGCCACAAGGTCCATGTATCATGTGTTTCTTAACAAGTGTATATAGACGTGGTTGATGTAGAGGGTCGGGTATTTCTACACAAACAAATTTGTCGCATGAATTGGGACTTTGAATTTTTGCAGGAACTTTTAAGATTATAAGAAAATGTGCATGGGGAAGGCCACACTTTTGAAATTCAATTACGTATATGTATGCTGCAACTTCCCCAAAAAATTTCTTCTTGATTATGTCATTTTTGAATTCCTGTAAACGTGTATGAAAGACTCTACATACAAGATCCGGTCTGTTTTGCGCCTCATCTTTGTGTTGGAGATGTTCTTTGATTTCAGGCCAATTAGGATTACACGTCATTGTGACAAATAAATCTGGTTTCCCATATTGCTGAACAATTGCCATTGCGTCTAGGTAACGTTTACGCATATCCCGAGGTCCACCTATGAATGAAGCAGGTAGAACACCACGTTGGCCAACAGCATCACCGTATACCATACCCATATGCATGCTATCAACAACGCCTTGATATGTTTCAGATCTGAGGTCAAGCTGTTTTAGTCTATAATAATCCAACCGTTGGGTCTCAATCTTAAAATACACATCAACCATAAACTGTTGTAAAAGCCTTCCGGTGTGTAATAAATAGCTGGAATCATCATGGCGTATCTGGAATTTATAAGCGTAATATTCCCTGCATGAAACGGTTTTTCTCTTTCTCCCACTTTGAATATTATCTTCTTCGATTTGAATTATCTCCTCAGCAGTATGTGCAACATTAAGACCTGGCATAACAGAGGGTATTTGTGTGTTCCGTGCTAAATGTCGTTGTGATTCTGATAACACCCTATCAATCCCTGTATGCCAACCTACTTCCCCATGAGGGAACAACAGTGGATATTGTAATGGATCATAACATCCGTAAAAATATTGTATATTCTGTGATCTACCACTATGAGCATAAACACGAATGTGTTTGCTTTCTGGAGTTTCTGTGTTGTTATCCTCCACCCATATTGCAGCAACTTGTGAGGCAGTAGGAGTATTATAAACTCGTTGGTCCAGACCTGGATGGTTATGTAGCTTAATGCTAAATTCTGCATCATTACATACGTCTTTCAGACTCTTAAAAAATTGAGCGTATGGGTTGTCTGAAATCACTTCAACAAGAGCAGTTACAATCTCTTTATCTAATCTATCCAATGTCTGCACTCTACCCTCAACTTGGTGATCGGTATCAAAAAAATATAGTTGTAAATTTCGAGGTGGAGATCCATTTGGAAGCAAGTCGTTCACAAAGTGATGTATTTGTCCTTGAACCTTAAAGGTGTAAATTCCTTTATTCCTCCTGCATAGATCTTTGTCATAATTATATATACCAATGGAAACGTGTTGTTGTACGTACGGACAAGAGATTGAAATTGTTTTCCTTTGACATCATTGGCGATATATAAGTCTCTAAGAGTAGGAGGCATCTGTGTTGATGAAAGAACGACCTCACCCCGACAACAGCAAAACCCCAGAGGTTCAAACTGCATGCGGCTTGCCCCACAAAAAATACAGTCTAATACCCTCTTTAAAGAGAAAATCGTATCTTGGTATGCAAACTTCTTCAGTGAATCTATAAGAATATGATGTATAGTTGTAGGTGGAATGGTGACATCGTTAGAGCATTTGAAGGAGAGAGTCGAGTTGGGAGAAACATGAAGAAGTTAGCAAATTTGGCCGAAAGTAAAGAAAGGTATAAATAAGTCATAAATGATAAAGGAGTTAAATGCTACACCTTGAGTGGAAGAGGAAGAATTTGAAGCGATGTTTTTTCCCTTTCACATAACTCACGATATAAACTTAGAGTACCTTTGAAGAACCCTAAAATAATAAAATGGAGAGTACATACACCAATGTTTATGTTGCTAAGAGTAGGAAACATTCTATTAAAAAATAGATATTAATATATGTTAAATGCGTTTAAACATTCGAAGGAAGTCTAAGCATAAGTTCAACAAATCAACACGGGGAAAGAAAGGACTTTGATTAATTTTAAAATCATTTTATTACACGGGGAAAGTAAGCATAGATTAGAAGTGTGTAAACATACCAAAGAAGTTGAAGCGTAACTTGAAGAGGTGAAGAAAGAGCCCGAACAGTATATAAGTGACCTGTATTCAATATTAAGAGGTAAAATAAGTTAACTGTTGTACAGATAAAATTCAAAGAAGTATACTTAAACATACATAAATAGTTTGACTTGAACCGGTTTTTTCTATGAATAACTCAAAAGTTAACAGTTTTGTATACTTGCTCTAGCAAATGGAATGTAAATGATTTTCCTTGCCAATGTAATCTATGAACCAATCTGTCCTTCCTAAAACGTGAAATACTGCTCTAAAGGATATCCACACACAAAACTAAGGCCACCAGAATTTTTTTAGAAATAAAAATTTTCCTCTAACAAAATCTAGATTGTTGGGACTGTCTGTTTTGGCATATGAAAATTAATTGAAATGATAGATTTTTTTATTCAATTTGAGTGACCTTGTAAAATATGGTGACCCTTGAATATTAAGAGGTTGTTTTTTGGAACAGTTGCGGTATATTTTAAATATTCAATGTGATTAACCAGTGCAGTATTCACATGCTGCTTTTAATATACACTCTAATTGAATAGAATTATGAACAAGCTGAAGAACTTAACCCATCTTGCTCTATCAATATCAAGGTAGAGTTGAAAATTTTACAATTTTGAATTGGTTTATCCTTTTATTTATTTTCCAAATGTATTATTTTCATGAACTTATCCAACCCAACCAGCACCTCTAGATACAATGCCTTTTAAGATTTCAAGTTTCAATAGGATCAAATATAGTGAATTCTTAAATCTTGAAGGCCCTTAAGATCTTAAGTATTGTCAATTCCCTGAATAGACAAGTCTACTAAGGAAAAGGAAATGAAAAAAACTCCATGATGTATATTAGCTTACTATTTGGCATGTATATTGATAAAATTTAATTGTGTAGCTTAGATTTATTTTGATATGAATGTAAACTTATCAAACATCCAATTTTTTTCTTAAAAGGAAGTGATAATATAATTTTCAGACATAGAAAAATATAATGGAAAGCTAATTTGGAGTTATGAATTACTCAGGATTATTTTTCACCTTTTCTGTAATAGTTTGTGCTCTTATACACCTCAGAGCAAGAGAAAAGCACTCATTTGGCATGGAATTCAGTAGTTCCAACTGGACTTGTTCTAGGGGAATCAATTATATGAAGTGCATGAAAGGGCTGATTCATTATGAAGGAATAAGAACAACAAAATTTATCTTTCTTTTCCTTTCTTGCAATATCTGGAGTAATTTCATAAGCTAAATATACATAATTAATTTGTTCAGTCAGATAGGCAGTAAAAGTGAATAACTGTAGGTACAAGTGAACAAAGGTATTCTTTGAACAGATTTTCATTCATTCTCGTTTCCAATCACAGATTCAAAGTACGTAATGGTCACAGATGGGTAATAAAAGAAGGTTTTTAATCAATTCATAATTACATAATTACTCCAAATGAAGTTTTAATTGTGTGCTCATAAAAGAATTGAGAACAATGAAAACCGTAACAGAACACGGAAAAGAATTTACAGGGTTTAGTGCAGCAAAATCTAGAAATATGATAAGCTTTGGGCTGAGGTATATCCCTAACGAAAACTTGAAGCAAAATCTAGAAAAGAAAAGGATGGTTTACCTAGCGGTTAACGAAGAAATCTGACCAATACCGACGATTTACAGGAAGATTATAGAAGAGGCGAATGCAATCTGAGGGAAGATATATGAGAGTAATCGTGGGGCGGTGGGCGGCGAACGGGGAAGAAGGCATTGTCGTGGGGCGGTGGGCGGCTGAGTGACCAATAAGATTAATTGTTCGTGCTAATTGATATTTACGGAAACCAGCACTGGGGCGTTAAATATAACGGAAAAACAAACGGAAAAAAGGCTGCCTAACAGAGATAGGCGCTTATAGAAATAGGGAGATGTTATAAAAATAATGATATTTCTATATTTCTTCAATAAAAAATAAATTGATTTTGAAAAATTAGTTCAAGTATAGAGTAATTACAAATGATCTTTTACTAAAATAATTAATAATTTAAATCTTAATTTATTGTAGATGAATCATGAACAAAAAACTTAACAAACATTAGAAATATTATTTTGTTACAATTCCTTTTCTTTTGTTTATGAAACACGAGTATAAATTAAACATAGTTTTTAACATGTAATCAATTTTAATTTTTTATATTTCTTTATTGAAATGCACTTTGAATTTTCTGAAATACAGTTTTTTGCATTTTATAGTAAACCATAAAATGCACAAATACCGTACTATACCATACCACGCTCACTCCTACCCTTTTATAAAAAGTACTCCGTATAAACATTAATTATTATGGTACTTTGTGGAAAAAAATTCTCATACCAAACATTTTTTGGTCCAACATTATATATTATAAGTGAATTTTAAGTTTGGAAATTGAAATGAAATTTCCTTATGCACAGCTTTGGTAAGAAAAAATCATAAATACGTGATAGTAATTGAAAATTTCAGTTAAAACCCGAATGTTGAAATGCTATGTAACACCAAAATTGTTGATCAAAAAATAATTGTGTTTCCTGAATTACTTTTTACGGATATGCAGCATAATATTTAGTAATAATAATAATATTAAAAAAACGTATGTTCCTTTTTTTTTGGTATAACACAGCATATTTAAATAAGCTTAAACTCTCTAAACAGAAATCCATAAACCAAAACTTAATGCCATTTGAATCCAAGGAAAACCAAGCAATAAACAGTCTGCCAAGAAGAAAGAAACCCACCCAGAAAAAACACAGCCGCCGTCTCAACATTATAATAACTTAAATAAACCTGCAATCTAAGAACCCTTGTCGGCTTTAGCAGCAGCAACCGCAGCTTGACCACGAACACGACCAGTCCTCTTGGCGGCAACAAGACCAACCTTCTGCCCTGGTGGGGCATCACGGCGAACGGTGCTGGCATGACCAATGTGCTGGTGGTTACCACCACCGTGGGGATGCTCAACTGGGTTCATGGCCACACCACGAACCACAGGCCAGCAGTTCCTCTTCACCCGGTACTTGTGGTACGCATTGCCTGCTTTGAGAAGCGGCTTCTCAGTACGCCCACCTCCTGCTACCTGACCAATCATGGCCCTGCAACTGCGCGGCACAATCTTCTTTGCTCCGGATGGAAGCTTAACCCTGTTTTCATAATGTCATATCATTACTTAACAAAAATAATGTGTCGTGTAATGAAATAACAAGGGTTAAAGGGCATTGCGGTCAAGGGAAAATAATGTGGCTGCCCAAACAAGAGATCATGGGTTTGAATTGAATCCCAATGGGAGCATTGATTCTGTACAATCAGAAGCATAAGATGATCTAATTACATGGAAGAAAAAAAGTAGAATATTCACTATCATTGCTACAAAAGAATACAGTCATCAGTACAGCAAGTGGAAAGAGGGAATGACAAATATTAAATCTCAGTAATAAGATCATTTTAGTGATCTGATAAAAAAAATTTCTGAGATATTTAAGAAGCTTGTATGATATTTTTTTCCCAGATTCATCATGTGCCACTTGGTTGACAACTTTTTTCACAAACTATCAAAAATAATTGTCAAGACTTGATAAAAGATGTGTCTGGAGAATTTCTGTAATTGTAACAAATCTTTTTGTGACCAGAGGGGCACTTAGTTTGGTAAATTTACAGGGCAGTTAAAATCGTGGTTATAAGTAATAAACAAACCTCCACATACTTGCTAAAGAAACACCTTTTTTCGCAAACTATCCAAAAAAAATAGTCAAGACCTGATAAAAGATACTGGTACAAGAATTTTGTAATTGTAACAACTCTTTTTGTGAACAGAGGGGCACTTAAAAGACCTATAACTTGGTTTGGTAAATTTAAAGGGCAGTTAAAAACAAGGTTACAAGTAAAAAACGAACCCCCACATACTTACTAGAGAAACAAATGAGTGGATCATGTGATTTTCACACAGTTACTAGTCAAACAATTTATTGGAATACCATTTATGATCATCCTAATCAATCCAACCCCTTTGAAGCACATCTATGAACAGAGATACTACATAGAATCTGTAGCAAATATCACATTCAACTTTTCAAAAACCTTTATAAAATCATATTTGGTCTCCATTACTTATTTAAAATGCAAAATTTTGAACTTTAATTATTAAAAGTATACAAAGATTAGGATAAATTACAGAGGAACTAGCATAATTTCAGTATAGTGATGAAAACCTAAATCAGATCACTACCTGAGTAAAAAAAGATGGATATAGATGTATACCTAGTAGTGCCGTTGTCGGGGTTGTGACTGATAACGATGGCGTAATCACCGGAGGCCCTGGCGAAGACACCGCGATCACCAACCTTGTGCTCGACGTTGCAGATGACGGCACCTTCCGGGATGGATCCGAGAGGCAGGACGTTTCCGACCATGAGGGAGGCCTTCTTACCGCAGTACAAGAACTGTCCGGTGTACATCCCCTCGGCGGCGACGAAGAGCTCCTTCTGCTTCTGGTACCGGAAGGGGTGGCGGAAGGAGACGCGAGCGAGAGGCGCGCCGCGGCCGGGATCGTGGACGATCTCTGTCACCACGCCCTTCAGGTAGCCATTCCGCTCGCCGTAATCAAGAGCGCGGAGCTTCGCCGCCCCCTTCCGGTGGTGGGTGTGGGATTTGAAGACCGAACCCGCCCCCTTTCGCTGAGCTCGGATGACGCGACCCATTTCGGTTCTCTGCGGCGGAGATGGGAAGGGATTGAAAAATGCGGCTGAGCTATAAAACGGGGAGAAGAAAGCGGGTTAGGGTTTCCATTTCCCTTATTATCTGCTGGGCTGGGCTCTCAATCGGCCTTTTATTTAGTTTATTCATACGGCGAAGTCTCTCTCTCTCGTTAGCGACTCCATGGGCCTGAGGAGGTCTGTTAAATTCAAATTGGTCCAAAATTGATCCAGCTCTTTTTTTAACTGCTGGATCAAATTCAATGGAATACGAAACCGACTTTATCGTCCCGCAAATTGTTTTTCTTATTATTCATTTTTAGTGTATGAATTTATATTTAAGAGAGAAGTTATCTAAAATTTTCTCAAATTGGTACATATTTCATATTTTTTATATTATACATAAAATTGTTAAATGTATCTAAAAAATTCAAGATAAAAAATCTAAAAGGTTTAATTCATGTATTTTGGAATTTTATGATTTTTTTAGCACCAAATGCAAATGCTCCTATAAATTTAAATCTTTATCTTTATATATTAAATTTCAGAGTTAAACTCTTACAATTGTGACAAGTGGCAAATGTACATGGCAACATTTTAACCAATTACCCGCCGCCTATTAACAACTTGAATGACGTGACAATTTTAATCAAAATATGCGTAGATCCTATTTAAGTTGTATGCCTTGTGTACAAAGTGCCGCTATAATTTTTTGAAAAAAATATTCTGTACAAGAATAGGAATAAAACACAGACAAAGTACCAAAATAAAAATGTATATTTTTTATCTCCAAAATATGAGCTACCAAACATGAACAGATTCCTTAGTTTCAAAAAGAAGTTATTGGTAATACAATCCTATCGAAAGACAATATTTTTTTTTATATCAAGGTTAAAGTATACAAAATTGACCAAGAAAGGTCAAATGAGAAGATTAAATCCAAACACAAAGGGAGTATTATTGAAGAAACTAGTATTCCTACCCGTGCAATGCACGGGTTCGGACGAATATCTTGTCGATTCTGAATTTATTCAATGCAATATTTTTTTCATAATAAAGGAAATATACCTCATGCATGATTTATAATATCACAGAAAAGAAAGGCAAAGTAAAAAGAATAATATTTGAGGAATTGAAGGTGCTTAGTTCGTAAGATTGATGGTTCTTACCCTATTTCATCCCTAAATCCCCCACCCTATCCCCGCCCCTGCACTCCACCCCAACACCACCGTAAGCCTCCCACTATCATTGCATAATAGCCACACGTTTTGTGGGTGGGTTAGGGGGTAGGAACCGTCAATTTTACAAACGGAGCACTGGAAGTGTCCCAAAATGACAGTGGCACCGCTAGTGTCACCAAAAGACGGTGTCACTACAACCCCACCGATCTTAAATATATTTTTAGTTCCTTCAAAAAAATTGGTCTCTTTAAATTTTTAATCTCTGTAAAATATCTTAACTTTTCATAGATATAATAAGCAACTCCATGAAAAGCTTGTTAAGTTTGTGTCACTAGTAGAGGTGGACACGGTACGGTTCCGGTTCCAGAACCGCCGGTTCCGGTACCGCCACCCCGTGGTACCGGTACCGTGACCGGACCGGCCGGTACCGGTTCCGCAACCCGAACCGGCGGTTCCGGTACCGGACCGGCCACCCCCCAAATTATTATTTTTTTGCTTTTTTATTAAATTTTTAAAGTGTAAAATTGTAAATGTGCAATTGTTAAAAGAAAGAATGAAATAAAAAATCTAAAAATGCAATTTATAAAGGAAAGAATGAAATAAAAAAATTTAAAAATATAGTTGTTGTTTAAATCTTGTTATTTAAATATGTGTCCCCCACTCCCCCACCCCCCACTAACTTGTTTTACTACTTTTTTTTAGAAGGAATTGTTGACTTGCAGCTTTGGAGTTTTGGACCTTGAATTGTTGTCTTGCTGGAGCTGGAGAGGATGGACCGCTGGAGGCTGGACAAAAAAAAAAGGTACCAGAACCGGTACCGCCGGTGCCGGTACCGAAAAATGGGTACCGAAACCGGTACCGTGGGGGACGGTGCCGGTACCGGTTCCCGGAACCGGTGGAATGTCCCGGCCGGCAGTGACGGTGGCAGGTACCGGCGGTACCGTTGCCGGTCACGGTACCGTACCGGTACCGTGTCCACCCCTAGTCACTAGTAACAGGGACTTCTTAAATTTATCTTCAACCTGAGTTATTCCAAAGAATAACTCGTTATGAGATGTTCTCCTATAATTGCATGACCTAGTGTCCTTTCTTGGATTTATCATACTTTGGTTAGTAATTTTGTGACTTAGACTATGTGTTATGGGACGTTATCGTCATTGTGAAATGGCCAATAACACCCTTATGGGGCGTGACAATGGCACCAGCGACGATGTGATGGAGGCGTTACGCGCCTGGCTTGACGAAGGCCACGAGTGTTGCCCGGTGAAGTAACTGTTTCCAACGACTATTTGAGCCATTTGATTTTTTTTTAATTCTAAACATTAAAAAATTTAGTATAAATAGGGTGTAGAAGATTAAGAACCTCATCCCCAAAGAACTTAGTATACATATTTTCGTAAAAAATGAGTTTCGATGAAGAAAACAATTAGTTGTCGTCTTCTGACGAAGATGATACAACTTTTTTGTTCTCGTGTTCCGTTGAAGCTACAGTAAGCACTGTCGAAGCAATTTATAATGAGAATTCGTTCGGAGAGATTACACATCAGAGAAGGATCAATCGGGGCCCTAATGTTGCCAACCACCGCCTGATTAAAGAGTATTTTTCAAAAACTCCAGTTTACAATGACGATCAATTTAAACATCGTTTTCGGATGAGTCAAATGAGTAACAAAAACCGAGATGTCATCAAGTAATTTTTTTATTCCATTGTATTTTTTATTTTTTTTCATTGTATTTTTTTTTTGTGTCTAGTTTTCGTTGTAATTTTTTTCTCTCGTATTCCCGTTGTTATTTTATTTTATGTATTGTATTAACAAATTATGTTGTTTGATTATAAATGTTTAGACTACTTTATCTACAAACCAAAAAACAAACAAAAAATTAAAAAAAAATGTGGCCAGACCCGTCAAGCTCTCCGCCATAACACCCCTTCACCTGATGGGGCTTGGTGGGAGAGCCAAACCACATCGCACTTACGTGGTGGTCAAGCTTCCATCATGCCCCATGATAAGACATGACTTTAGTTATTTATCTTAGATGTAGTATAGGATATTAAGTCCAATTCAATTTATTAATCCCATCACAAATTTCACAATAATTTTTTTATTTAATTTTTTTGCTTATCTCTATCCTCCAACGCCTATAAAAATCATCCGTTAAGTAGTACTTCCTCCATCCCATTTTATAACGCTTGTTTCGGTTCACGATGTTTGACTGGAGTTATTTTCAAATCATTTTATATGACAAATGGTATAGAGTTAAAAAATAAAAATTAAATATCAAAATACTACATCAAAAGATCTACAAAACTAGTAGTGACAACAATATTTTATTTTATAAAATTGCTAACGAAAATAGAGAAAGAAAGTGAATGAAGTTTGACCCTGTGAATAGTGAACATGCATTATAATTTGGGACGGAGGGAGTATAAAGTTTAAAGGGACGTTTCCATAACATTGTCTGTCAATGTCATGGGATGACCCGGAGGCATTCAATTCCGATGCTTCGTTCGTAAAATTGATGGTTCTCACCCCTGTAAATCCTTCATCCCGCCCCGACACGAACACACCCTCTACTTCCGCATCTCACAACTTTATTTTGATTTTAGAGTCAAATTAGAGTGGCCGGGTCAATGACATAGGAACCTCACAGGAAGTTTAATTAAGTTTATATTTAATGTTGAAGGAATTTGTAAATTAGTGTGCTGTTGTGTAGATAGAATTTACATTATATTGTGTGATATAGTTGTACTGGCTCGTGGGTCTTCTTTTGTAAAACCCTACGAAGCTCTTCCCTATATAATGGAGCTATTATCAATAAAGAAATACACATCTCCCACAAGACGTTATCAGCACCGATAGCACAACCCTAATTTTTCAGCGACGCTTCTTTAATCGATCGACAGAAAAAAAATTCTGCGCCCCTTCTTCCATCATCGAAAAAAAGGGGTGGGGGAGCAAATCGCCGGAAAGGGAACAGAGCAGACGGAGGAGAAAAGGTCGCTGCCACTACCCCGCCCCACCATATTGTTCTGCCGCACATACTCCTATCAGAAATGACTGATCCCAGTAGACTTGAATTTGACATCTTGGACTTAGAAGGACTTGAGTACCACCGTTGGGTTTCTGATGTAGAAATGGCTTTCGTGGCTAAAGACTTCTCTGCCACACGTAAAGACCCCAGTGAATTGAAAGATGCACCATATGAAAAAGTGAAAGCAAATGCTTTAATGTTCCTAAGGTGACACATTGACCCAAGTTGACGTTGGGAATATCTTCAGTTGAAAACCCCCAAAGAACTGTGGCATGCCCTTAAGGGACGTTTTGGGAACATTCATGATACTCTCCTCCCAGAACTGAATGCGCAATGGAATGAAATCCGTTTGCTAGACTATAAACGGATAAATGACTTTGTCAAAGATATGTTGCGTCTTAAGGCACGTCTCATCTTTTGTGGTAAGCCAATCACCGAAGATGACATGATTCAAAAGACTCTTGACACATTTCCTACCTCATCCATGATACTAGCGAACCAGTACAGGATGGAGTATGAAAACAAAAGAATTACCACATTCTACAAGTTGATGAATATGCTGCAATCAGCAGAAAAGCATAATGAAGTCCTTGTGAATAACAATGTTTGGCCTGTCGGGACAAAGAAAATTCCTGAAGCCAATTATGGAAAAATAAAACATGGAAGGCATCCCAATGAAAAGGGACCTAGACGTGCTAATCCTTACCCACGTGGAAATAACTCTAATCGTGGGAAGGGTCGTGGCGGTCGTGGTAGAGGTCGTGGAGTATCTTCCAATGTTTGGCGAAGAGAGTCAAATGATGGACCGAGTGGCCACACAAACAAGAAGTCAAATGCATCCAAGACTCCTCTGATAAAGAATGAGCCATGTTACCGATGTGGAGTTAGCGGACACTGGTACAAGCATTGTCACGCTAGTAACAAAGTTGCAGCCTGCTACAAGAAATATCTCCAATCTAGAGAGCATGAATCTCAATATTTGGACGAAGAAGGCAATGACGTTGATGTCAATCTTACCCTTGCACACTTTACGAACAAGGGGGATAATGTGCACTCAATGGATGCACCTGATTTTGATTGATACACTTTCTTCATTCTCTCCATGCATGATGTTTTGGAATAATTTCTTTTATGTTTCTGCCAATTTGCTAAGAGTGTTTTGAAGACTATTTATTGCGTTTTTAGACTATGTGGAATTGTTTTAAATTTGCATTCAATTTAAATAAATTAAGGGATTTATGCCCCTATTTTTTATATACATCGTGTGTTTCAATTCCATATGCAATTCTCTCATTACACAGGTATGAATCGAGGTGAACTTGAGTGCTTAATAGATAGTGGGACTACTCATACCATCTTGCGAAATAGGCACCTCTTTGTTAACTTGGTAGCCTATAATTCATCTGTGACAACAATGATTGGTTCGTCACATGTAATTCAAGGACGTGGTACTGCCATTTTCTTACTTCCTAATGGTACATTGATTAAAGCCATAAATGCTCTATATGCACCTAGAGCTACTCGAACCTTGTTAAGTTTCAAAGACATCCGTGAGAATGGTTTTCATGTTGAAACTCATTGTGAGAATGGTACTGAATACCTTTACATTACTTCTAATGAATGCGGAAGAAAGCGCATCTTAGAGAAATTTAAGGGTAAGAGTAGTGGACTGTATATCACTACAATTTGAATAATTGAATCTTATTCTATAAGTCATGATGACATAAGGGATACTGAACAATATAGACTTTGGCATGATCGACTAGGGCATCCCGGTCGTGACATGATGATTCATATCCTAAAAAACTCTCACGGTCATCCTTTCTTTCAAGGCAAAGACAAAGCAACACAAAAACCCGACAGCTTGGAAAGCGGTCGGCCCAATCTTGCCCAACTCCGACAAATGCCTTCTAAAGAAATTGAAGTATCATCCTCGTCTCAAAATAATTTTTTGACAATGTCACATGCCCACAAATCCTTTTGTAAAGCCTGCTCATTAGCAAAAATAGGATCACGACCATCCTATGCTAAAGATTCAAAAGAAAATATACCATTCCTACAACGGATACAAGGATATATATGTGGGCCGATACAACCAGAAAGCGGACCATTTCGGTATTTTATGGTACTGGTTGATGCATCGACACATTGGTCGCACGTTACATTATTATCAACAAGAAATGCTGCATTTGCAAAACTCTTGGTACAAATAATTCGTTTAAGGGCTCACCACCCTGACCATCCGATCAAGTATATAAGACTTGACAACGCTGCACAGTTTACATCTAAGAACTTTGATGATTATTGCATGGCTATTGGGATCGATGTAGAGCATTCTGTTCCCCATGTACATACGCAAAATGGCCTTGCATAAGCAACCATTAAAAGACTACAAATGGTAGCTCAGGAGTTGATTATGTGTTCTAATTTGCCTACATCTGCATGGGGTCATGCCATATTGCATGCAGCTTTACTTATTCGCTTGAGACCCACTGCTTCACAACCATTCTCTGCATACCAGTTGGTGACTGGTTATGAGCCTGACATTTCACACTTACGGACATTTGGTTGTGCAGTGTATGTGCCGATTGCGCCCCCACAGCGCACTAAAATGGGTCCTCAAAGACGATTAATTATTTATGTTGGATATGAATCCCCAACCATTATTCGCTATATAGAACCTTTAACAGGTGATCTTTTTACTGCTAGATTTGCAGATTGTCACTTTGATGAGACAGATTTCCCGTCGTTAGGGGGAGATAAGAAAAACTCTCCAAGCGAACGACAGGAAATATCTTGGTGTGTCCCCACACTGTCTCATTCCGATCCTTGTACTTCACATTGTGAAAGCGAAGTGAAAAGAATAATTGATCTTCAAAACGTGGCAAATTCGATGCCCGATTCATTTACTGATATTGTTAAAGTGACTAGATCACACATACCTGCTGCAAATGCACCTGCAAGGTTAGAAGTCCCAACTAAAAAGAAAAATGCCATAATGATAGGCATTACATCCACACCGAGTGGAAGTGTGGGTGAGGCCGTGGCTCCTCAAAGGAAGAGAGGAAGGCCACTTGGTTCGATTGACACTCATCTAAGGAAGAAAAGGACGAGATTATCTCTGATTATAGTTATGTCCATGAATCATTACTGGAGGACGCTCCAATGTTTGATATGATTCAAGAGAATAAAGAAATTTTAATGGATTATGAAAGTGCACATATATTACTAGAAAGATCTTCAACACACATCGATGATGTATTAGTTGCTCTAGAGATAATAGAGCATGACGATATCGAACCATGCTCTATTGCGGAATGTCAACAAAGAGCAGATTGGCCTAAATGGAAAGAAGCAATCCAGGTAGAGCTTGATTCCTTGGCAAAAAGACAGGTATTTGGTCCGGTAGAGCTAACCCCTCGAAGTGTAAAGCCTGTAGGACATAAATGGGTATTTGTCAGGAAACGTAACGAGAAAAATGAAGTCTTAAGATATAAGGCTTGCCTAGTGGCGCAAGGTTTCTCACAACGCCCTGGAATTGATTATGATGAGACATACTCCCCTGTAATGGATGTTATAACATTTAGGTACTTGGTGAGCTTAGCAGTTTCCGAAGAATTGGAAATGCACCTTATGGATGTGGTTACTGCATATCTCTATGGGGATCTTGATTCTGAGATATACATGAAAGTACCAGACGGTGTCCCCTTACCCAAATCAAGTGACTCTAAACCACGGAGTGCATTTGCGATCAGACTAAAACGCTCTCTTTACGGTTTGAAACAATCCGATAGGATGTGTTATACCCGCCTAAGTGATTACTTGATTAAAGAGGGATATAAGAACGATGAAATATGTCCCTGCGTATTTATAAAGAAAGCAAAGTTCTGGATTTGAAATTGTAGCCGTCTATGTTGACGATATGAACATAATAGGCACTCTTGATGAAATAAGAGAAACTGCAAATTATTTGAAATCTGAATTTGAGATGAAGGACCTTGGGAAAACTCGATTTTGTTTAGGCCTTGAACTAGAACATCGAGTTGGTGGGATATAAATCCACCAGTCTGCGTATGTCCAAAAGGTACTCAGGCGATTTAACATGGACAAAGCGCATACTGCTAGCACTGTCATGGTCGGCCGAAGTTTAGATCCTAAAAAAGATCCATTTTGTCCAAAGGAAGAGGATGAAGAGGTATTAGGAGCTGAAATTCCATACTTAAGTGCCATAGGTGCATTATTGTACCTAGCTTAGTGTACTCGGCCGGATATAGCATTCTCAGTGAACTTGTTAGCTAGATTTAGCTCTGCGCCAACGCAACGTCACTGGAACGGTATCAAAAATATTTTGAGGTATTTAAAGGGAACTAGTGATATGGGACTGTTCTTTCCATACAAAAGGACAAAGGAAGCTGTGAATTCTAAGAAAATGGTTGAAGAAGGGAGTTCATCCTCAAATCTAGAAACACCGATTGATGTACTAATCGGGTATGCTGATGCAAGATATTTATCCGATCCACACAAGGGTCGTTTCCAAACTGGTTAATTATGGATTCACAGTTGGTAATGCTGCAATATCGTGGAGGTTGATAGGCGTGTCGTAGCACCTACAAATTAATTTATTATTTTCCTTAACTCTTAACCCCCTTTATGAATTAATATTAATTAAAACATATAGATATGGCAAGTAAGGGTCGATCCCAGGAGGAAAGATACTTTTTAGGCTATGAAAATCAGTTTACTTGTCACTTTTATTGAATAAAAACTAACTAAAATCTAAAAAACTAAAACTAAAGGATATGGGGGGTTTAAAAGATAATTTTAAAAAGATAAAAATGTAAATAAAGATAAAGATAACAGATAAGAGATGGAACTACATCAGCAACTCGAACTCAGAAAAACACTCAGGGAGAAACAAACACACAAAAATAATCACACGATAAACTTTATAAAAACGTAGACAATAATAATTGACTTAAACCATTTTGAAAATACTTATAGTTTTTAATAGAAAATAAACTGAACAAATCTGATTAATTAATTAATTATGCCTTGATTCTGAAATTAAACTGCTAATTAAACTCAGGACTAGGCTGAAGAAGAGGTCCACCAACGGTTCTTCCCTTTTTTCCCATTCATATTAGCTCATGTTAAGACCAACCCTAACTCTAAACCCTACGACCCTTAGCAACCCAAAGACCAACCCTTAAGTTACTACTAAGAATAGCGCATTAAAATCTTTGGAAAACATCACCATAACAACTTTGCAGTAACACTACGGTTATTTAACAAAATCAGTTCGAGAACCTTGATTAGCAAAAATCACTTAACGAGGCAATCTAGTACTAATCAAGTGACACTTGGTTTCTAGAAAAGTTCGGATATTTAAATATTTAAAGCACTTTGGACTTTAAAAAAATATCAATTTAAACTGGATTAGGCGCGCGTTCCTAATTTGGTCCAATTTAAGTAAAATCTGGTGAAAATAGTTCTCAGAACACCTTTTCGAGTTTAGATTTTAACAGTAGCATAGAGCTAAAATCTCTTCAAAGTCAAATTAATTCAACAAACAAAGATTCAATCTTTTTGTCAAACAATCTGGCCTAAGAAGGTTTTATAGTTTCAGAGACAATGATCAATTAATAAATCATAACTTGAACCATTCAACATCAACACTTAAACAATTCAACACTTATAATATAACTTAAACATTCAACATAGAATTCGAATTGAAAATATTATATTTAAATAATGGATATCAAATTCATCAATTGGAAATTAAACAAATTCAAAATCCTAATTAAAAGTTTGAAATAAAATTAGAAGTCAAAGAAACTCCCNTCTCTCTGTTCCGTTTCCGTCCCTCCTTCCTCGTTCTCCGTATATATCCCTTCTTTTTATAATTGAGATTTGAAGAGTTCCAATTGGATTTGGAAAAGGATTCTCTAGTTTCTTGCGCCTTCCGTTGTTGGAGTCTGAGACGGAGTCTCCGTTTCCTTTCCTGCGATGCTTTCTACGGAATGGAGGAGTTTTTACTTTATTTCTTTTTTGCTTTCCTTTTGATTTTCTCCGCATTGGTTTATGATGGGCCAAATAGATGTCTTGCCTGGGCCTATTCTTCACTTTCTTCCGCGGCCTTTTTTACTCCAAAATATATCTAAAAAATATTAATTAAGGAAAATAACACTCTAAATTAATTAATAAATATAAATACGCTCAAAATCATGCATTTTATGTATAAAAAGTAAACAATAGCCTAAAATGCTAAATGTAACCAAATATATTTATTTAAGTATAAAATGCATATAAAACATATTAAAAGTACTAAGAAATGAGAGAATAAAATATGACATTTTGTGACTCAACAGAGGTCAACCAAGAAAACTCTAGTAGCCACCTCATCAAACCACCCAGAGATTATAGCTCTACATGAGGCGGTTCGCGAGTGTATATGGTTAAGAACTATCATTACACGCATTCGCGGGGCTAGTGGTTTGAGATCAACCCTAGTTAGTTATATATGGCAAAAGTTTAATACGGAAATACGTACGTACGTGTATAATACGTCAAAAATTTATAAAATACGTCTTATAATATGTTTCATACGTACAAAACGTGTATACGCATACGTACGTGTATTAAACGTTTCCTAATTATAAAATTCGTCTTATATTATGCACATATTTATTCACAAGAAAATTAATAATAAAGTAAATAAAAAATCAACAATCATGCTTTAAATTGAAATAAATCCAAAACAGTAAAGTGCTAGCATACAATCTTTATGTCAATAAAAAATAAAGTCTTAATCGAACAAATATTCAAAATGAAAAATAGGATAGAAAATCTAGAGCAACTACAAAATTATTCTAAAATACCAAATTCAGCAAAAACATCATCATCATCATCATTGACATAAGTCTCACAAAATTCTGGAAGTCCAGCATCATCCATACCATTGTCAAATTTGTTGGCCTCATTATGGAATGCACCACTTCAGCTTCATCCTCTATCTCTGTTAATGGGAACACACATGGATTCTTTAAGAGCAGGCGTGGCCTTCGGCAGGGTGACCCTATGGCTCCCACTCTGTTCATTTTCTGCATTGAGTACCTGTCCAGGTTGCTCAACACCAAAACCAAGGAAGGATCTTTTCATTTCCATAAGAATTGCTCAGAGTTAGGTATATCCCATTTGGCTCTTGCAGATGACATTATGTTATTTGCTAGAGGTGATTTCTCTTCTGTTAAGGTTATGATGGATGCCCTAGATCATTTCTCCAAGGTGTCTGGACTATGCCTCAACCCAACCAAATCTAATATCTTTGTTGCTGGAAAGTATAGGGATGCTAGTCGGATATCCTCTAATTGGCTAACTTCCCTAGAGGTGAACTTCCTGTCAGGTATCTCGGGCTGCCCTTGTCCTCCCATCGTATTTCATGATCAGATTATGCACCACTCTTCATGAAAATTGACACGTTCCTTTGGAAATGGAGTACCTTGAAAATTTCTTATGCTGGCAAACTGGAGCTGATTAGAGCAGTGATTCAGGGGGTGGAATCATTTTGGCTCCAAGCCTTCCCAGTTCAGAAGACTGTGCTTAACCGTATTACTACTCTATGCAGAGACTTCCTGTGGGGCAGCAAGTTTGCTAAAGTGGCATGAGCTGACATTTGTAAACCTAGAAATGAAGGGGGTTTGGGCTTGAGGCATGCTGAAACCTGGAATAATGCTCTTTTGTGTAAAGCCTTATGGAACATTGCTGCGAAAAAGGATTCACTTTGGGTGATTTGGGTTCACACTGTTTATCTGCACAATGAATGTGTGTGGGTGTGGCAGCCCAGGAAGAGACACTCTGTCTTCTTTAAAAGGCTTGCCTATGTGCGAGAGCTTTTGGTACAAAAGCTTGGTGACCATAATTCCTCCTTGGAAGTGGCTATGCAACAGTTTTGTATTGGCGATAATCTCTGTCCGAGTAAGGTTTATGATTTTCTTAGGGACAAGTCCAACCCCAAGCCTTGGATGGCTTTCATATGGCATTCTCTAATTCCTCCTAAGTGCTCCTTTACGATGTGGCTGGCGCTTAGGGGGAGACTTCCTACCAAGACCAATTTAAAATTCCTTGGTCTTCCTATGGAGTGTGAGCTTTGTGGAGATGGAGTCGAGGACATTAGCCACCTCTTGTTTGGATGCTGTGTGTCAAAGCAAATCTGGGGAGCCATTAGGCATTGGCTACGGATTGATGCCCAACTGACAACCTTGGACATAGCCATCAGGTGGTTGAGGACGGCTAGACGAGGAGATCCTATCCTGAAGAAGGCATGGAGGATAGGGTTGGCATGCACCATATTCCTCATCTGGAAATAGCGTAATGCCTTCCATTTTGAGCGCAAGCCTCTTAATATTGATGGTGTGATTTGTAATATCAAAACTATGGTTTATTGTGTTTTAGGCCGTGTGTGGCCAAATGTTCATCATACTTTTTAGTTTGGGTTAGCCTGTGTGCCTTGGTTTTGGGGTTGGTTTTCCCCTTTTATGTACGAGGGTGTCCCGTTGAGGTGCATGATGTAGTGGAAGGGTTGCTCCCATTCTTAGCTCGGGTATGCCTGTTCTATTTGTATATTCCTATTCTCTTTCTATTTACATTTTCCACAGAGGAATAGTGATAGTTTGTAGTAATCCTGATGGGACTTGATGTTCGGCCTTAACTTGTTGACAAGTTAAACATCTCGTTGTATACTCTGTGATGTCACGCTTCTTGCATGATTTTAGTCCGAATGTCACCTTCGGGTACAACTAATCTTGACCGATAGTATAGTCCTCCATTCGATTGAATAGAAAACTCTTGTTTCTCACCATTAGAAACAAGCTCAACTATCTCTTTGCAAAATTGATCTTGAGTCTGCCTTGTAAGGATTTCGGTTTCTAATGTTGATTGAATATGAAGTTCAGCCAATGTCTTTCTGCTTAAGGTATCAGCCACAACATTAGCCTTGCCGGGGTGATAGTCAATGACACAATCATAGTCTTTAATTAATTCCAACCACCTTCGTTGTCTCAAATTGAGTTCTTTTTGTGTGAGAGAGTATTTCAGGCTTTTATGATCAGTGTAGATGTATGTCTTTTCATCGTATAGATAGTGACGCCAAATTTTTAATGCCAAAACTAATGCCGCTAGTTCCAAATCATGTGTGGGATAATTCTTTTCATGTTCTTTCAATTGCCTTGAAGCATAAGCTATTACCTTCCCTTCTTGCATTAACACACAACCGAGTCCATTATGAGATGCGTCTTATAAACGACATAGTCCTTTCCAGGCTCAGGAAGAACTAAAACTGGAGCTTGTGTGAGTGCAGTCTTTAGTTCCTCGAAGCTTTTCTGACATGATTCTGTCCACTGGAACCTTTGGTTTTTCTTCAACAGCTTGTGCAAGGGCAATGCTTTTATTGAAAAGCCAGGGACAAACCTTCGATAGTAACCTGCTAAACCAAGAAAACTTCTTACTTCTCGAACATTCTGCGGAGGTTTCCATTCAGTAATTGCGACAATCTTTGTTGGATCTACACGAATTCCTTCATTTGAGATTATATGTCCTAGGAAAACCACTTCTTTCAACCAAAATTCGCACTTGGATAACTTGGCATATAATCGATTTTCCCTTGGAATATGGAGTACAATCTTAAGGTGTTTTTCATGCTCTTTAGCAGTTTTTGAGTAGACCAGTATGTCATCGATGAAGACAACAACAAATTGATCTAGGTAGGGACGAAATATTCGGTTCATTAAATCCAAGAAAGCTGCCGGTGCATTGGTTAATCCAAAAGGCATCACCATAAACTCGTAATGTCCATAACGAGTCCTGAAGGTGGTTTTGGGAATGTCATCAACTTTAACTGGAAGTTGATGATATCCAGATCTTAAATCAATCTTTGAGAAGACACTTGCTCCACGTAGTTGATCAAACATGTCATCAATGTGTGGTAATGGGTACCGATTCTTAATAGTTAACTTGTTAAGTTGTCGGTAATCCACACATAATCGCAATGAGCCATCTTTTTTTTAACAAATAATATGGGTGCTCCCCAGGGTGATATACTTGGCCTAATGAATCCCTTGTCCAATAGTTCTTGAAGGTGAGCTTTTAACTCCTTCATTTCTGCTGGAGCCATACGGTAAGGGGTGATTGATACTGGCATGGTTCCATCCTTAGTTTGGAGCGTCAATACTTTATTATGACAATCCACAATAGCTTTGTGATTTGAGAGCCAATCCATCCCAAGAATCAAATCAAATTCTTTGTATAAAAGTTCAATTAAGTCTACGTGAAAGGTTTTCCCTTCAACCCTCTATGATACCTTCTTATCTTTTCCCACATATCCTTCCTCCCTGCAATATCATTGAGACCATACACAAATGTAATGTGGAACTTATTGTTATTTTGTCTGTCAAGCACTATACAGTGGACAGTTTGACTAGAAGCATCTTTGATGTCTACCTCATATCTCTGTTGTCTCCAAATCACCCAAATTCTCCCATTAGGGTGATAGCTATTATTCATATAGGATCCCCATCCCTGGCAGATCTTATTCCTTATATTATTCACCATATTATCTTTAATTTTTGTTTCCATCATCCCCATCAGACTGATTTTATTCTTTTGGAGGAAACTTTTTACCTCTATTTGTTTGTTGAGGCTGTCCAGTCCCCTCACATTCCAACCTCCAATCATTGTAGAAAAGGGTAATGCCCCTTATAGGGGGCTTCAACTAAGTCTCTATTCAGGCAAATCCCATGATGAATGTATTGCTCTTCTTCCCATTTCTGAACTCGTCTTGCTGCTTTCTTCTTACTAACTGGAATAAACCCTTCATTTTGGTTTTCTATTCCCTCTTGATTTTTCTCTGTATCCAAACCTCTATTCTGCTTCTGGACATCTGGTTCTTCTTTCTCTTGTTCATATTTTTCCTTTGTAATTTTAGGTTTCCATACTAGTTTCTGGTTTCCTTTCATTTCTTTCTTCCTGCACATATCTTCCTCATGCCCCAACCGACTGCATTTAGTGCAAATTATTGGTTTCCATTCATATTTAACTGAAAGATTTATCAGTCTATTGTTCTCATCTACAAACATGATCTTCTCAGGAAATTGTTGATTTGCACTAACAGCTATTTGGAGTCTTGCATAATCCAATTTAGTTCTTGATGTTGTGGCCTTATCAGCTTTGATTAGCTTCCCTATCAGGCTACCAATCTTGCTTAGAGCTGTCCAGTATTTGCTTTCCAGACCTGGCAGCTGTATCCAAATAGGTATATCCATGAGGTTCTTCATATCCAGGCTTCCAGCTTCTAACATAAACCGGCTTATTGTCAAAATGGTAGTAGATCCTCTGTATTGCTTCATCTCTTTCTTTTTCAGATCCAAACCGAACCACATATTGCCCTGGTTTTAGAAATTTAATCTCATCAATCTGATATTGTTTCCAAATTCTTCCTATAAATCCCTCCATCACAGGTAGAGGAGGATTAGCTCCTAATACACATACTATTGCAGTATCCTCCCAGTAATTTTCTGTTTGTAATACATCCTCATCATTAATCCTAGCATATTTATTACCATCGGCTTCCTCAGCTTTCACAAATGTAAGCTTACCTTCAGAATCCTCAGATCGGCCTACTGCTTCAGCATAAGTCTTCGGCTGGGTTATATCCTCCAGTATCTGATCGAGGTTCTCTTCCTTATCTTTTTCCTCTGCTTTATCATCGCCCTCTGATTCCTGATCGCCTATCACCAGATTATCCTTCTCAGAGTCCTCTCCTTTCTCCCCATTTGGTTTTTGCTTTTGCAGTCCGACCCTTGGATGTGCTTGAGGCTTCTTCGTTTGTGATCCCGATGGAGTCACCGATTTGCTTGCAGAGTTCTCAATCGTAGTTTGCTTCTTCGGTCTTCCTCTCCCTGCCATGGCTTAGAGAGAGAAAACGTATTCAAAAAAAATCAAAAAATTAAACAAAACATGCATACTTATGTGTAGGGAAAATTCCAAATATGGTACTAAAACAATGCTAATTTCCAAAAGTAGGACCAGTACTACTGGAAACCTTTTTTTAATGACTAGAATGACTAAAATAACCCCGGCCGCTGGATTTGGAGAAATGCGTAAGCCGCAATTTCCGAAAATCGAGAGACATTTACGCGAGCGAGAAGAAATCTAGGGAAACGAGAAGAAATCAGGGCATTAAACAATCCAGGCTCACCTTCTCTCGATGCAAATCTAAATGAGCGAAAATAGAGAGAGAGAGAGAGAGCGAATATAGGAAAGCGATACTAATGGCTTCCATGAAGGTAACAATGGCGTCTAAGAAGAAAGGTGAAAGCGAAGACATCGATTTTGTGACGAGGGAATCCGATGATATGCTTCTGACAATGCCTAACGGACTCGTAAGCTCTGAATTTTACCATTTCAAATTGATGAACATGAATTGAACTTTATGAGATTGATTGAAGGCATGCATTCTGTTATTGTTGATTGAAGTTAATAGTTATGAGTTTTCAACTGAGCATGTCTACAATGTCGTCTATTAATGTCTACTTGGTCTAATTACTGTCTACTCGGTTTTATTAATGTCTAATTATTACAGTTTTTTCATTGAGATATAAGTTTTGAAGGCTTGAGAGAATCATAAATCCAGCAGATGAATTTGTGCTTTGAACAATTCAATTGTGGTTGTGTGTAATAGGAAAAGTCTGATAATGTCTACCTGGATTATTACAAATTATGAGACTATGTTCCGTTGGCGTATTACTGTCTACTCGTCTATTAATAAGAATAATGTCTAATAATGTCTACCTGAATTATTACAAATTATGAGAATATGTTTTCTGTTAGCGTATTACTGTCTACTAATGTCTATTAATAAGAATAATGTCTGATAATGTCTATCTGGATTAATACAAAATATGAGACTATGTGTTCCGTTGGCGTATTAATGCCTGTTAGGCATTTGAATGAATATAATGATATTTGTGGATGATGAGACAGTGTCTTTGGTTAGTTAATGAATGTCCTGTTAAGTCTTAAAATGAATCTAATGACATTTTTGATTGGGCCATAAAATTTTGATTGCTTAAGAGAAGCATAAAGTCAAGCGGATGTTACTGTGCATTGAAATTGGTGTATTAATGTCCTCTAAGGCATTTGAATGAAAACGTAAAATACTTTCTAATGCAATTTGTATTGTGTTTTGGAAATGAAGTGAACAGAATTTTGTTTAATGTGACAGGTCTATAAACGCCTATGTAAGCCGAACCTACTGGATACAAAAACTGAAGCTAAAATCAATTCATACTGCAATGTTGGTAATGGGGTTAAGAAGTTGAAAGAAATGCTTTCAAAAGACGAACTAAGTGAATTTCGAAAGACTGCCTTTGGATATTGGTTAGACATTGGAGAATTGAAATGTGTTAATGGCCAACTTATGATTCTTCTCACACTCAACCATGTGGAGCCGATGGACAGACTGCACGCCTCTGAAGAAATTTCATTTTCCATTTGTGGCAGAGTAATCAAATTCACATAGAAAGACTTCCAAGAGGTGAGTGGTTTTAGGTTCGGGAGGAGCAGTGAAAAAATGGAGAATTATACAGAACCAAGTGACATAAGTAAAAGATACTTCAATGGTCAAATGAATGTGACAAGAGAGGATGTGAAGATTGAATTTGAGAGAGTCAAGAAAAATAAAAATAGAGAAGCTTTAGATGCAGTGAAGTTGGGACTCCTATACATGTTAGGGACCTGTATAATTGGTAACCAGCCAAGTATTAAACTCCCTGGACTGTATCTCCACTTGGTCGATGATTTATCCAAGTTTAATGAGTATCCATGGGGAGAAGATGTGTGGAAAGATCT